GAGTTGTTTGTTTGCTTGCTCTCCTGTTGTCAACATGTCCTTCACTCTCCTGGAATTTCAATTACATGCTACTTTGCTGCAGTCACAAAATGCCATTATTTTATTTTTGAAATGGGTGATTTCAAATGCATCTTGATTCTTGCATAGAGATTACTTGGCAGAAGACACAAACATATTCATGTCAATTTTATTTGTCTGGAATGGAATAATATCCTAAGGCCATTGCCAGTAATTCAAATTTCAGCAGCACTGAAATTGTTTGACGCAATGACTTTGAATGTTAAGCATGGAAGAGGTACCTTTAAAACATACTGATCTGAAATGGGAAGCTATTTCAGCACACTTGACAATGCTTAAAACTAATTGTTCGAAACATTTTTATTACTGTAGTCATCATTTATAAAATAACACGTGATTTTAGAGCTCAGAACATGTAATAGATTAGGATTCACTGGAAGGCTGCTCTGAATTTGGCTCTGTCTATTCTATTTTCCCATAATGGCTGGATTTCAGTTTGAATATCCACATTTCAGTTCTGTTTCTCCTTTGTGAGAAATGAACCTGTAAGTATTGATTTTTACATTGGTTTCTCTTTTTTCATACCCAATTTATTCCTGTTAAAATTAATTCTGGTTTCAACTTTACTTTTGCATCCGTTGCATGACATATAATGCATATCTGGTATATAAGAACAACTGACAAAAAAATTGAAAAGAAACCAACGGTGTAACCCTAAGGGCACTTCCCTGGGAGTAAGCCCCCCTGAATAGAACTGAGTAGGATTCTGAGCAGACATGCTTAGGATTTCTCTTCAAAATGCTCATGTCCCTAAGCCAGGTGTTTCAACCCATAGAGATTTGCATTTTTTTCTAAAGCATTTTGCTGTAGGACATCTTATTTTCCATTTTGGATGCACATCACAAAAAGCTAATCAAGATGTCAGAAAACATTCTCTCTGCTGAATTTTTCTCTCATTATGTGAATTCCATAGTGACCTCAAATTATTATTTTACAATGGAGTTCACATTCTTGTCCTTTGGCTTCAGTCTGATCCCTTATTAAAATGACATTAACTGATTTAAAGCCTCTTCCTCATCTAAATATAATGCTAACTTCTTAACAAAACATGCTTTGAAAACCAAAAGGAGGTGAGAGATTTCATATCATTCAAACATATAC